TTGACTGATGTGTCTAGGTTTTGTTTTAATACTACTTGGAGATCTCTGGACTTCTTAGATCTGTGGTTTATTGTCCTTAATTAATTTGGGGAGATATTTGGCCATTATCTCCCCCAATATTTCATCTGCCTTGTTTTTCTCTTCTCCTTCATCAGTTACTTGCATTGGACTGTTTGATATTGTCCCACGCCTCTTGGATGCTTTGTTCTTTTTTCCACTTTTTTTTCTTTGTGTTCCAGTTTGGGTAATTTCCATCTTCAAACTCACTGATTCTTCTGTCTCCACTGTTCTGGTAAGCCTGTTGAAGCCTGCGTGTTGTCCACCTTTGTAAATAGATTTTTACACATATTGATCGTTGTTTTAAATTCCGTGTCAGATATTCCAGCATCTGGGTCATCTTTGAGTATGGTTCTATTGATTGCTTTCTCTCTTAATGATGAGTTGGATTTTTCTCTTGCTTTTCTATGTGTATCATAATTTTTTTTGAATGCCAGATATTGTGTGTAAAAAAGAAAAATAGAAGAGGCTGAGATAAAGTGTATTTACGTAAACCCAGTAATTAAAACACCTCTCTTTCTGTCAGATTATTAGTGTGAGGGGTTGAGTCGATTTTGTCAGGAGTGGAGCTTTGTTATTAGGTTTGGGTTTTGTTATTACCTTTAGTACACCACAGTTTTCAAATACCTCCCCCAACTGGCTGCTCTTACTTTGACCCTTTCTGTGCTGTGATAAGTTCCCATTTACTTACAGTCCTGATACAGTCAACAAATCTCCAAATGATCTGATAAAGGGCCAGATAGATAGTTAATTATGTAGGATTTTGCAAGCCATGCAATTTCTGTCACACCTATTGAACATTGCTGTCATAACCCAGTAACAACTATAAACAGTAAGTAAACAAGTGAATATGGCTGTATTCCATGTAATGGGACACATTTGGCCATAGTTTGCTGGCCTCTTGCTTAGAGCCTTGTTCTTGTACCACCCCCAAACCCCTACCTCTGTAATACAAGCCTCTAGCAGGGCAGGGAGTTTAGCCTATTTTGTTCATTGATTTCCCAAGTGCCTACAACAGTGTTTGACACATAGTAGGCTCTCAATATATTAAAGAATGGATTAGAGGATTATGTTTTAAGTGTGTATGTGAACAACATATAGCTGCAAAAATCCAGTCTGCATCTTAACAGATACATTTAATTAGATTGCAGTTATTGTGAATATTGATATATTTGGAATTATTCCTGTCATTTTTTGTTTTTTAATTCTTTCCCCCTTTTTTCCTGCCATCTAAGTTTAATCAAATCTTAATTGATTTTTCTTGGTTTGTCTTTTAATTTAGAGACTGCATTCTGTTTAGCATCCTATAAATTAGTGTTGCTTCCTAAATCCTTAACATGTATATTTGGTTTAGCAACATTTGGGAGTATTCGTCCTAAACACTTTTCAAGACCTTAGAATGCTTCTCCTTTGATGTTTATATTTCCAATTTCCTTGTTACTTTTTTTCTAATATTTTAGTATTGCTTTGTTTTAAACAATCTACCCCACTCACTGCCATGGTCATTTTTCTTTGTTTTATAGTTAGAACTTTTTAAGACTTACTCATCTTATTTCTTCCTTTTGTATTAATTTCCTTCTTATCAAAAACATCTTTAGTAGTACTTTCAGCAGTAGTCTGTGGTTGTTCAACTCCCCCAAACTTTATCTGGAAATGTCTTTAACCATCTACATGCCAATAATTTAGTTAGGTGAATAAACTACTCTCCTATCTTCTGGAATTTATTATTTCTTTTTTTCTTCAATTTTGGAAAATTTTCAGCAAGAATCTCTTCCAGTTTTGTCTTTCCTCTTTCTATTGTCTTTTTCTGGAACTCCTTTGTAGATTTATATGAGATCTTTTATCACCGCTTTCGTGTTTTTTATCATTGTATTTCTGTATGCTCTGGGTAACAACCTTAGATCTATCTTTCAGCTCACTAACTGTGTTTTTTTACTCTTATCTAATCTACTTTTTAATCTATTTATTTGACTTTTTTCATTTCAATGACTGTTTTTCATTTTAGGAGGTTGTTTATGGTACTTTTCCAAATCTATCTGTTGTATTATTCACGGTGTCATATTCTTGATTTTATTTTTGTTTCTTCTGTTATTACTATAATCATCTTAAAGAGACTTTTCCATATCTTCTTTCAGACTATTATATAATTTTTAAGCTTGAAGGCTCTTTTTGGGCCATTGATTCTCGTGATAGAGCATATTCATGTTTAGTTATACTTTTTCTATTGAGACCTTCTCTTCATTGAGTATTTTTCCTCTATGGATGCCATTGTAGTTAGTTCCCTGGTGATGGAAGTGGGTTGCCAAAACAGTTTGCATTTGCTTCTCCCAGGCACCCCAAGGAAATCACCAGCCTGGGGCTAATTGTTACAATAATTTCTAACACTGAGATCTCTGTCTGCCCTATATTATAAATTGTGACCACTTAAGTGTGGTATAATTTGGATTTCAGTTTCTTAGGAAATTCATTCTCACCCCCCTCTCTGTATATAATATTGAATGACATCACAAATATATATCTTATTTTCTGATTTTAGCATAATCCATTATTTAGTTATTAGAACCACTAAGTAAATGTGTTGTTATTTTTTTACATATTTAGCAAAAAAAACCCAAAAAACAGTTTTTGGGAAGAAAGTCTTCAACATTTTAAGAAAAGCAACTTTTAAATAAAATAATTATTAATTTGAACAAATTTCTAATTAATGCCACTTGAGACATGTTGCTGGGTGGTTGGACTTTAGAAATGAAGGAAAGTATATTACTCCCAGTGTGCCTTTGCCTTCATTCCACTTCCTGCCTCCATCTTTTCTTCTCTTGTTGCCCTACTCAAAACATAAAAAACCCACATCCTCATCTTCTTTTAGAACAATAAATAAACCTAATGCAGAATTTTTATATTTTTGGTAATAGATAAAACTCTACAGTTCAAATAAAACAAACCAAATTAATACAAGCTTGACAAAACAACCTTGGATAAGTATGGATGTGCAAAGATACTGGCAAGTTTTCGACTTGGAATATGTGTACCTTCAAAAACGCCTCCCTGTGTTACAGAATATATATTAAAATGGCAGAGAAGGTACCAGGATTTTAGTGTTTATCAGAATTAGCCATCATTTTTTTAAAACTGTAGAAACATAATGCCCTCATATTTGTTTCTTCCAATAAATAAAAAAAGGAAAATTACACAGAGAACATCTGTGAATTATATTAGTGTCAGATTTTTGTTGGGCAAAATTATCAACTGTTTAAAGTTGATTTTGAAGTACTTGAACCTAACATCCTTCCCCAACTCTAATTCTGGCTCTAGAATATACTACTGGATTAAATGGCCTGAATGTACATAAATATGCCGTAGCCTTTCCCTTATTTTTAGATTCATAGAAGTTTGAGTTTCATTGAAAGAAGACTGTTCAGCATTAATCTAATCTGTTTAATCTGCTTGACTTTTTATTTTAATTACTATTTTTCATTTTTAAAGGTTATTTATTGTACTTTTCCAAATCTGCCAATTTTCTTATGGTAGAATCATCCCCAGCTACCTTTTTATAGAAGTAGAGTCAGATATTTTCACTTTCAGTTCAGTATCCTAAAAAATGAGCATCACATTGTCCAGGGATGACTCACAAGAACATATATCAATTTTTATGGCTTAATAGGTTTCCCATGCAGTTCATTCATGCTACTTACATTCTTTTTAAAAATATCTTAGGAAAAGATTTTCACAAAATGTATTTGGAATATAAGAAAATATATGTTTGATTTCTCTCAATGTTATAGTTTTTACTCTGCAATTTCAGCAATTTGATTTTAATCCACATGAATGTTAACATTAATCTGTTTTGTTTATTGCATATATCAAAGTCAGTTAAACCTAATTACATTCCCTTTTAAAGTATCCATAAAATGTTTCTATTAGAATATCTTATGGATAGTCCAAACATATCAGACCTTTTGGAGTAAAATAAGTTACTCTTTCAGAAGGTCAGACGTGAATTAAATAGTAGTAAGTTAATTGACTAGATTAGAACCTTTATAGAAGTAGTAGCCTAAAAAAAAAAATGACTGACATTTTTCCACTTAAATACTTAAGATAATTTTCAAGTTATAAAGTTCCGAAGTATCTCCTGGCTGGTGTGACTCAGTGGTTGAGCACCAAGAAGTGGCTGGTTTGATTCCCAGTCAGGGCACAGTCCCAGGTTGTGGGCCAAATCCCCAGTAGGGGCATGCAGGAAGCGGCCAATCGATGTTCTCTCTCATCAATGTTTCTCTCCCTCTCCTTTCTTCTCTCTCTGAAATCAATAAAGAACAAAAAAAAATTTTTTTTTAAGTTTTGAAATAGCAAAAGTTTAAATTCACAATACAGTGATACCTCGGTTCTCGAACGCCTTGACTTTCGACCAAATCGGTATTCGACCAGGAGATTCGAGAAACTTTTGTCTTGGAATCCGAACAAATATTTGGAACTCGAACTTCCGAGATGAGCCGAGTTGAGCCGAATGGCGTTCATTCGGCCCAGCGCGCCTTGCTTGCGTTATCAGTGTGAGTGCAGAGAGAGAGTCACGCTTTGTGGAGAGAGTCACGCTTTACACTGAATTTAACCCTTAGACATACTGTACACTTTTATTTCTTGTTGAGACTTATGTTTTTCTACATATTATATACAAATTAGGCCAGTAAATAGGCATTTTCTGGGGCTTGGAACGAATTAATCCAGTTTCCATTATTTCCTATTGGGTTTCATTGCTTCGGTTCTCGAACAATTTGGTTCTCGACCGTCCTCCTGGAACGAATTATGTTCGAGAACCGAGGTATCACTGTATTGGCATTCTTGACAAACTCTTGTCACAGAAATAGTCACTTGTTTTGTTTTTCCAAGGCCGCTTAAAGGTTAATTGACTAAAGCGGGTAAGACTTCATGTTTACTAATATATATTGCAGCTCTATTGGTACACCAGAAGGCCAGAATGGAACGACTTCAAAGAGAACTTGAGATTCAAAAGAAAAAGCTGGATAAACTAAAATCTGAGGTTAATGAAATGGAAAATAATCTAACTCGAAGGCGCCTGAAAAGATCGAATTCCATATCCCAAATACCTTCAGTAAGTCTTTCTATAACTATTATGACCTCTATGCTTAAACATGTGAATGGGTAATCTGTCATAAGTATAAAAGCTTGATCTAGTTTTAAAAGCTCTTAATTCATACTTGTTTTTCTGTTCTTCCCTTCTCCTGCCAAACTCTACTTTTTCTTAACTAATGACACGAGAATTCAATGTAGATCCTTCTCACATGGAATTATCTTTCAGCTGGAAGAAATGCAGCAGTTGAGAAGTTGTAATAGACAACTCCAGATTGACATTGACTGCTTAACCAAAGAAATTGATCTTTTTCAAGCCCGAGGTAAAGTTCAGTACATACTCAGCAGAAATTCATTGTATAAATATACCAACTCTTCCTGTGACTGAAATAGATTTATCAATCAAATTCTTACTGTCTCAGATTTGACTTTGGATCCAGATAGTGCTAAAGAACTATTGGGTTTTCATTTTCTCTTTCCCTACCCCACTCCCCCCAAATATATACATATATATATATATATATATATATATATATATATATGGTAAGGACTAATTTGCTACATTTTATATCCTTCAAATCTGCTTTAGTCATGTGTTAAGGGAAGACAAGGATTAGTATCTCTGGCTGCATTGTCAAATGTATTGCTATTATGTATTAGTAGAATGTGTTACAATAATATTTATTAAGATTAAAATATATGTGCTCATATACCTTTTTTGTATTTTCTTTTACCTTTCAAGAATTATGCTTTGCAAAACATAATTAAAAAGGCACCCTCACCCTAATGGCACTATCTTCATTGACAAAATAGAGAAGAGAATAAAAATATGACTTACACGTTTTTAGAACAATGATAGTTTATTATGCTTGAGATATTATTGACAAGTAATTGTTGCTTATTGTAGTAAAAAATGTTTACAAATTCAATTTCATAACAATTAAAAGGAAATTTTATAACAAACCTGATTCTGAAGTTGGGGAGATAATAGAAATATATAAAATGGAAAAGATAGGAAAGGAAAGGAAGCCAACAAAAAAATAAGTCCTTAATCACACTTTTGAGTGTGTGCCAGAATCCATTAAACTGAAAGATGATTCATTTTCTTTTCTTTTAAAACATTAGTAAGCTGTTTATCTTGAAACATTCATAGAAAATGCCATAATTTAACTTTGGAGAGAAAAAGAAACTTAGGGCTGGTCTAGAAACTATCATTTTGAACTTGTTTCTTTTGTTTAAAATCTGAACCTTTGTATTACATCAGTGCAAGGTTTTTATACTTACTTGAGGCCAAGCTGTTTAGTTGCTTAAGACCATGTTTGGTCATTTAAAATTATTTTAAACTGTTAAATTTTTTAGTTATTTTAATTTGTCCCATAGAACAAAGATCTGGTTCTAATTATATTACTGTCTTACTAGCATCAAATTGACTTCTTTCCCAATTAACCACTTAGACCTCTCTCATGAGTACTATATTATACCTACCTCAGCTGTTTTGAAATCCTTACATATGATTTGATATGAGAGGTACAAAATAAATAAAAAGCATTTCTGTGATTATTTTTTAGAAATAAAATATTTGCTTTTTAAAAAATAAAGTTTTTCAGCTATAAATATTGAAATATTTACTTTTTATATATTTCAGGACCACATTTTAATCCCAGCGCTATTCATAACTTTTATGACAATATTGGATTTGTAGGTCCTGTGCCACCAAAACCCAAAGGTTAGTGTCTCTATTAAGTTTGAAAACTGTTACATTTTGAAAAGCAGGATTTTAGAAATTTTTATTTTTAACAACCTTTCTTTCTAGAAGTGCTTCAAACAGGGCTTCTTGCATGGATTCATTAGGAACATATTTGTTGATTTTTATTTACATGCTGGGGTTGGGGAGGATGTAAAAGTGTAATGTATTTAGCTCTTAAAAAGTAGTATACATCCTTAGGATTCATTATACACCTCCAAAATATCAAGTCTTGGCCCCAAAAAATTCATCAGGTGCAAAAATTTGTATTCTTTAGAATGTTTGAAAAATTGTAAGGAAGATACCATAGGGAAGTTTATTTTTTATTAGTAGCCTGTTTTATTTCATTTATGCATAATTCTGTATAATCAAATACTATAAATTTCAGATGAGTGATTTTTGAAAACTATTACCTGCTATCATTTTACATCTTTGATATTCATTGAGTATATGTCCTCCAAACTAGGAAATGTCAAAATATGTGTGTGTGATTTTTACTCCAGGCATTAATTTAAGTATCATTTAATCAGGCTTCGCTAATCTTGATTTTTTCTTTTTTTTTTACTTAAATGTTTCTAAACATAGGTAGAATGTAATGAACTATTACTACAGAGGAGCAAAGGTGACAGGTGAGATTAGGGCATTTGGCACAGTAAGCAGGTATTCAGACACTGGATGCTACTTGCTGTTCACTGAATAAAGGAATAAAGAAAATGGTGGCTGGTGTGGCTCTGTTGTTGGGTGTCATTCCGTGTATCAAAGGGTCGCTGGCTCAATTCCTGTTCAGGGCACATTCCCAAGTTGTGGGCTTGATCCCTGGCAGGAGGCAGCCAATTGATGTTTCTCACATCGATGCTTCTCCCCCCTTCCCCTCTCTTTAAAAATCAATAAACTGGCCCTGGCCGGTTTGGCTCAGCGGTTAGAGCATCGGCCTGCGGTCCTGAGAGACCCGGGTTCGGTTCCCGCTAAGGGCACGTACCTCGGTTGCAGTTTGTCCCCGGCCCTGGTCGGTTGTGCGGGTGGCAGCCACTCGATGTGTCCCTTTCACATCGATGTTTCTCTCTCTCTCTCTGTTCCTCTCTCCCCCCCCCCCCCACTCTACCTGAACAAAAAATGGAAAAATGTCCTCGGGTGAGGATTAAAAAAAAAAAAAAAAAAATCAATAAACTGTTCTTTTTTTTTTTGTGGTACGTACCCCTAGCGGGAACCGAACCCAGGCCTCTCTGGTCCACAGGCCAACACTCAACTGCTGAGCCAAACAGGCCAGGGCAATAAACTGTTCTTTTAAAATAAAATAAAATAAAATAAAATAAAATAAATAAAATAAAATAAAATAAAATAAAATAAAAAAATAAAATAAAATAAAATAAAATAAAATAAAATAAAATAAAATAAAATAAAATAAAATAAAATAAAAATGGTGGCATAGCCTAGTTCCTTAAAATAAGCAAAGTAGGTATTTCAGATTCTGAATGAGTTGCCTCTATTTATAATATTTTCACTCTTTCAGAAACCAGAATTTTTTAATAAAAAGTTTCTGTTTTGCTTCAACATAATCTAGTACTTGTGTATTGAGCGTAGGAGAGAGGTGGAATATAGATAAAATAAGATTGGTTTTGATAATTATTGAAGCAGGACAAGTACATGAGAGTTTACTGTTCTCTCTATTTTTGTATATATGTTTGAAATTTTCCATGGTAAAAAGTTTTAAAAATTCATTATTAAAAGCTTTTTCACGAAATACAGAAGCTTGTGTGCTGGATATATATATATGTTTTTTGTATTTATTTTAGAGAGAGAAGAAGGGAGAGAGAGCCTCCCTTGTCAGACCCTTGATTTTTCAAATATTTTCAGGATACGCATCCATGTGGCAAAAATTGTGAGGGTGCCTAAAAACTATGACCAATGCCTGAAGTTGGGAATTTTGCAATGAAGTCCTCTTGACTAATCAGTAAACAAGTTACTGCTAAAGGGGCATGGAATACCAAACATCACTTAGTTATTTCATATTTGTTATACAAATCTCCTGTATTTTCATCTAATAAATACAATAATGTGTCTTTTTAAATAGCAGAAAATATATCATTTAATTACTGTCACGGTGACTGAATAATAGTAGGTGGAGTTTGAAAATTAATACACATAGTTTTAATAGTTTAAATCATTGTTATAAACCTTAACAGGAAAGATCTAATTGCATACTCCTTTTACTTTAAACTTCCCAAATATAATTATAGGAACACTATTCTAAATTTATAACAGGATCACTCCAAAAAAGTTCCATAAATGTAATTTCATTTTAACCACAACTTTGGAGGAATATAATTTCTCATATTTAAGATATCTCTGTTGTTTGTTCCAACACTCTAGAACATTTACCTCTCAAAGCTGCAGTGACTTTATACTTACCAATAAGAAAGATTAGACCTAGAGGATATGTGATTTATCTAAGATCACAGAGCAAATAAATCAGGAGTTAGTAGCTGAGCCAGAGAACCCTGTTCTCACAACCCTCAATCTAGTGCTCTTTCTACTGTTTCTTAATAAATTTGAGTTAAAAATAAAATACAGTAAAAATTTTACCCTGATTAACTTCTCCAGGGTCTCTTGATAAATAGTTAAATAAGATTATAGAGATTAGTTCATCTTTCTATTTTATTTGTGTTCAAGGCTTACATTTTCAGCAGATAGAGAACATTTAACAAAAAAAATTTTATTCCTGGTAGGAAACAAATATAAATACTAAGTAAGAAGTGAAACTCTAACTTAAATGAGATATAAATTCACTGTAAGTATTGCATTGCAGAAGGACACCTTTCCACAGTCTTAGGTGACATTATGAGAATCTTTGCTGTTGGTTACCATATGAATTGATTTCCCTTTCTCCTGCAATAAACTGGGGGAAATGATGCTGTTTTCCCCTTTAAGAAGATACTGAGGTGACTACATCATGTAGCTGTTCCCCAGCAGAGAGGTAACAGCTTGATGGAGATTGGTGAGGACCAAGGGTGTGTGTCAGTCTCAGTTAGATGCTTCATCTGGTTAACAACTGGCCTCGTGCTGTGCAGTACACATAGTGTTTAAGATTGCTAGTAGTTTATGAATTTGTGATTTTTGCTTCTAAAATAATTATTTTGCTTTCTTATAGATCAAAGGTCCACCATCAAAACACCAAAGACTCAAGATACAGAAGATGACGAGGGGGCTCAGTGGAATTGTACTGCCTGTACTTTTTTGAACCATCCTGCCTTAATCCGCTGTGAACAGTGTGAGATGCCAAGGCATTTCTGAGCCAAAAGGCCTTATATCTTCTCCAAAACCACATCTGAAGTTCAAGAAACTGTCATCAGGGGAAAAGTTTCACTGCTACATAGGATTTTGTCAAATTGAAGGTGTGACAAGATGGTGTTGTGCTAATGTTAAATGTCAGCCCACGGAGCTAATAATACCTCAGTCTAATGTCATGGGCAGTTGAAATTCATCACATGAAAGGTAATCTGCTGAAAGACTTGGTTGCCCGCTGCCTAACCATGTACAGTGTTACCAGTAGCCCATTATGGATAATTCTCAATATGTTAATGCCTAGGTGTTCCCAGTACCTTTTTCCCCTCATGTCACTACTGAATTTTGACAAGAGGAAGGAATAAAATGATGGCTTTTTTTTTTTAAGCTTTCAGTGAAACACTACAAACATGAAGAAAAGGAACAAGGTTTAACTATTTAAAAACTGTTTGCTGCCGCATAGTGCCCACGGATAGGGGAAGAACTTCACAAATCTGTGGTACTCTTGGCCTTGTCTTTGTCTTCCCTGAAAACGTCTCCACTCTGAAGCCAGCATCTAGGGTCTGAAGATGAAAAGGAAAGCAGCGTGCATTGTGTACAAACATGCAGTGAGATAGCCCAAGGCTTTTCCTGCTGTACAGATCTCTCAAGTCTGCTTTAAGTGATTTCTTTTCTCCTTTAGTATTTTCTTATATTTCTATATGTATAGTGTAATAGTCTTTTGTTAACTAATTTTCTTTTTCCTTTTAGTGATTAAGCACGATCATGTCCCTTTTTAAGCCTTACCCAAAAGAAGCAGTGCCTTAAAATAAAAAAGCATTAATGAAATGAAACTATGCACAAAATAACTTTCCTCTACTTATTCTGTGCTTTGCCCTCATAAGTGCCGATATCTGTGAAGACATACAGATGCTGCACAGTGGATGCAGAAAATGTTACAAGACCTCTGTCTATAGGTCACACCATAGACTGACTTTAGTGGTGGGTGACACAACACAGTGTTTTATCTTCCACATGGAAGCTTAAAACAAAAGATTTTTTAACCCACTGACAGAGCAACAAAGTTAAACTTGCTTCATCTGCCTGGTGTCCCACAGAACTTCCATGAGAGATTACAATTGGGAAAGTACAGTTTCAGAACCAGCAACAGCAGCAGTACCTACAGCCTTTTTTTTTTGTTTTGTTTTGTTTGTTTTTTTTTGTTTTGAGAGAGAGAGAGAGAAGTTTAAATGATTTACTGTTGGGGCAATTCGTTTATAAACCTGACTTGGTGGCAGTATCATGTGTATTTATAAAACAAGGCTAGCCATATTTAGGACAACTGAAGAAAAGCTGGAAAAAAAAAAAAAAAACAAGCAAACTTGAACACTGAAGCAACCTCAAGCATCTCTTTATTTTCATGATATATTTTTATAAGGAAAATAAATATTCAGATGATCAGGAATGTATATAACTAAATAAAATCAAGAAAAATAACAGTATGCATTTAAAAAGACAGAATTATGAAATTATATACCAGTGCTTAGAATGGGGCTAACAGAAGTGCTGAAATGTAGCAAAAGATAGGAGATGATGTAGACTGTCACCCACTGTAAATGTTTGCAAATGAATATTTTTTAAATAAACAATTATTACAGGTGATCTATATGAATGTCAAAGCTTTGACTTCCAGGCTTTGCATTGTGTATATGGGAAGAAATATGACAATCCTAGTTAATTAGACAGTAGACCCAAAGCCCTTACATTTGATGCATTTTGCTTTAAAAATAGGCCTTGTTTTTCAGCTTCATCTGCAGTTCTATGTGAAGATTGATAAATCAGTTTTTACTTGTTTTATTAATAAAATGTAATTTGGATATCTTGAGTTGATGGTTTTGTGATTTAGCTGGGTAAACTATCTTTGTAACAGATAAGTTATTTATAAAAATTAAAAAACTTATATTCTAATGTGGATTTTGTGACTTGTTTTTAAAGTTTGTGGGACAGGAGATAATTTATAGTTAATTGAAACCAGAGAAAAACTCATTCTCTAGAGTCTTCTCATGACTTCATGGCATATTCAACTGTACTTCTTGGATTATTTTTATTAATTTCCCCAGGCTTTTTTAATGATGAAAGAAAAACCATGTTTCAGCTGAGCAAGAAAAATGAATATAGCTTCTTTTTTCATAGTTTGTTAGAGCTTTGCCTTTTCTTTCTTTTTGGGTTTGTTTTTAGTTTATCCCATTGTTCAAAATATGATTCCTTGGGTCATTTAGCCTAAGTAGTCATTTAGTTAATATTTGCTCTCACATAATATGTAGGTGCTGAGGGTGGTTGTGCTTCTCTTGAAGGGAACCTTTATATTAAAAGTTTTCACCAAGTTATGACTCAGTTTTTCTGAGCAAGAAAGAGGACAGGAGCACTTCTACTGATTCTTCATGACATAACTGTAGAAAACCTTGCCTTATCTTGATTGGACTTTTAAACCTAATGGTACAGAAATATTCTTTACCAGAGAATTTGAGGTCTGGACATGTTGGAGGTCTTGGGACCACCCTCCCGGAATTACTGCACTAAGATCCAGTTGCAGGTACTAAAAGCTTCAAATGGGAGATGGACTTCTGTTTCTCATCACTATCTTTGGGTGCTGACATTCTCTGTATTTTAAGGGAAGGTGGATAGTTAGCAAGCAGTACATGTAAACTGGGCTTCTTGGGAAAACTTATATTAACAAAATGTTGACCAGTATCTACTGTAATAACTAATACATTATACAGAGATAATGTTACATTGCAAATTTTTATGGGGAAAATGAAAATTTATCGTTCTTTTAACATTTTTATTTTTTTAAAGAACCTGGATCAATCTACAGTCTTATACAGAAAACTATAGGTAATACAAACTATATTAGCTATTAACTTTTTTTTAATCCTCACCCAAAGATGTTTATTGATTTTAGAGAGAGGAAGGGAGCGAGGGAGAAAAAAAATCATTGATGTAAGAAACATTGATCAGTTGCCTCCCATACACACAATGGGGATCGAACCTGCAACCTAGGTATGTGCTTTGACCAGGAATCAAACCCGCAACTTTGGGTGTATGGAACAACTATTCAACTTAGCCGCCCGGCCAGGGCTTAGCTATTAATTTTAAGCATATATATATATATATATTTTTTTTTTTTAATCCTCACCCTAGGACATTTTTTCCATTTTTTTTGTTCAGATAGAGTGGGAGGGAGGGAGGGAGGGAGGGAGAGAGAGAGAAAAACATTGACGTGAAAGGAACACATCAAGTGGTTGCTATCCGCATGACCCAACCAGGGCCGGGGATAAACTGCAACCGAGGTACGAGGCCCTTAGTGGGAACTGAACCTCGGTCTCTGGACCGCAGGCCAACGCTCTAACCACGGAGCAAAACCGGTCAGCGCTAAACTTACATTTTAATCAAAGCATTTATAGATAGCAAAGTTAGCTGACTTTTCAGGTTTAAGAAGTGAATGGTATAAGATACAGTCCATGAGTAATTGAAGTTGGCTATATTGCTTTAGAAAATATCAAATCTGTAGTGGCACCAAAGGCCATTCCAGATTTAATATCTGCCTGCTGGGTATTAGCATAGTTTTCCATATAATATTACAAAATACTTCTATTTTTCTGTGACAAGTGAACATATTTTTGGCTCTAGTTTTCAGAGGCTACAATTATATCCATTTTACTTGGAGATGAAATGGCTCGGGGCTGCATTTCAATTTTTATTGCTTTCATCTGAAAATATAATTAGGCAACAGAGACTTTTTCTAAAGAAAACACAATTTTGTAGCTTTATATTTGTCAAGTTGGGTTTTTCCCTCTATGTAGCAAGTTATTTGGATTTTCTTTTTTTTAAAGGGAGTGTAATCATATAAAAATGCTTGGTAATGCACTGTATTTGTAACTAAATTTTCTATATTGGTTCAAAAATAGAATTGCCACATTATGGTATAGTTTACTGATTTACCTAGTTTCTTGGAAAGGTTATGAAAGCAATTGCATTTTAACACTGTGATACATCATTGTTCTCCAGATAGACCTCACAACTGCCCTGGCTGGTATGCTCAGTGGTTAGAGCATCGGCCCTCAAACCAGAGTGTCTTGGGTTCGATTCTGGTCAAGGGCACATAACCTCGGTTTCTGTTCGGTCCCCGGCCCTGCAGGAAACAACCAGTCAGTGTGTCTTTTTCGCATCAATGTTTCTCGCTTCTCCCTCCCACTCTGTCTGAAAATAGATGGAAAAATATCCTCGGGTGAGGATTTTTTTAAAAAAGGAGAAATAGGATTCAATTCTGGCATCACCCTAGATTTACTCTATTACTGTGGGATATGTCCTTGTTTTTTATTTTTCTGCCTGTGAAGGAAAGATAATTATATTAGTGTTAAACCCACCTTACAAGGTGTTGGGGGACTAATGTGGAACTACCTGAGCCAACCCCTTCTCTCACCAGGAACTGGATTATCCTAAAACAGTAGGTCATGTTCTTGCATGAATGAGTTTCACGGTGTTTTCTCCATAGTATCAATGAACAAAAAAAGTAAGTTTGCTATTTATTTCTCTGAATTGGTCTAGGGATGTCTCAGTGGATCAGAATTTAATATTTCAGTTATTGTGATTGAATTCTTTACCTTATCGAAAGGTTGGTTGTTTTGCAAATATAAAATGCTGACCTAAAGATAAAATGCGTTCATATTTCTGTTACATGTCCAGCTATCTAAAGAATGTACATTTTATGATGGAGCATAACAAATTATTTCTCCAGGAAAATAAACAGTTTCTTCAAAGGACTTACTCCAATGTTTGCACAACTGCATATTGCCTCAAGCTCTTTCTTACACCTCGGCACACTGCAGCTAGAATAAAGAGAACACCAAGTAAGGCCACACGCTCATGCTCAGAAATCTAAGACTCTGTGGTCTGATCCTTGCCTGCCTCCTCAGGATGGTCTGTTACTCTCCAACAGAAAACTCTTACACTGGATTGGCTTTATCATTTCCCTTAGGAGATCTTGCACATTCCCAGTACTGTACTTTCATCCATCCCGTTTCCAGTCTCTCTACTTAAGTTTAACCTTCAAGGCTCAAGTCGAGGGCCAAGGTTCTAAGACCCTTCCAAACTGTACCTTCTCGTAGCACTTGCTCTATTTTCTGCCCATTCGCATTCATTGCTACTTTGACCTCCCTGTTTATATACTGACATGGTGGATGTTAGTAACATACCCCTTTATGTCCCCCACGGCAGATACCCTTATACATAGTAAGAGATCAGTAATTGTTGACAGTGATAATGATTCTTGAGGGCCAAGTTAATTTCTAACCTTTAATTCCAAGTTAATCTGAGTGCAGCCATTTTGAACTTGGTATATATTTTCCCATAGGACCAATATTATAATAGGTTTCCAGGCCAACCTGCTAATTAACTAAAATACTTTGCACTTGAAATACAGAAATAAGGCACAGTAGTATTGGGATATGTAAGTGTAACCGTGAAATTAACAGAATGTTTCTGTTGTTTTCTGTGTGGTTCTGGAAGAGGATGGAAGAATCAAGACCGTTGTAGATATTCCAGAAAATTCAGAAATTGTCATTTGAAATAGAGGCTCCTGATTCTGTTAACATCTGATTTTACATCAAAGTTTAAACATTGCCTTTTCTTGGTTACAGATGTTTAAATGGCTTCCTGTCCTTAAATGAGAATGATCAAATTAACTTTTCTCAAAATTGAAGCACAGAGGGATGGGATATTTTTTCTAAGAAAATTGGTCAAGAAATGAAGAAAATTGAATGCTAAATGTGCACTAACCCTCTCCTCTTTCCCAAGAAAGGTGTGAAAAGTCAGGCTTCCCACTAGAGGAGTAATAGGAAGCAGGGGCTATTTGTATATCTGTGAATTGGCCATGCATAACCAAGACACTGTGTGAGGAATAATAACAGGAAACAAGTGTGCATTTTATTACACAAGTGGCTTGAAGTTTTTACTACCTTTTGGTGTGTTGGGGGGGGGTTAAAAAATTTTGTGTGTGTCTTCATTGATTTTAGAGAGAGAGGAAGGGAGAGTGAGAGAGAGAAACATCAATGAGAGAGAACATCGATTGGCCGCCTCCTGCGTGCCCCCCACTGGGGATTTAGCCCACAACCTGGGCATGTGCCCTGACCAGGAATCGAACCAGTGACCTCCTGGTGCAAGGGTCGACGCTCACCCACTGAGCCACTCCGGCCAGGCCCACCATTTGGATTTTAACAGAATGATTTCACAAACCCTTTTATGGAAGTGCCAGGTTCTTCTCATTATAGGACAGTACACACATCTAAGAGCAGTAATTTACCAAGCCAGGCGACCAAGCTCTGCTAA